GTCTTACAGCCGGTGTACTCTTTCGCTATTGGCTGTAAATCGTATATGCTTTGAGCGCCTTTTGCCAGTGACTCGACAAGGACAAAAATGAAAACTCCGTTGTTCATATTCACAGTACAGGCTTCATCCTTCTCCCTTTCCACAGCACAAGGGCTGTGAGTCATTTTTCGAGAGTATAAAAGGATTTTCGTGTATTCAAGTGCACAATCTTTTAACTCTTGAACAACGATGAAAAACTTCCAATCGTTATCTCGTCGAGCACGCTCATCCGGTCGTTTACAACGTGGAATTGCATCAGAAGTCAATATTCCTCTTCTCCTTACAACCACCATGACTGAAATAAGACTCACAGGCTGTACCTCGACCAATTTCCTCGATACCCTCGGCCCCGTGCACAAAGTACAAAGCTGTCACTCATGACACTGCTCAAAAATCCGAAAGGACACAAGCAACTCTATCCAGAGCGAAAGAGTACATCTTGCCTGTGTATGCCAGGCCTGACTTTGTTCTCTCTCATGGGAAGGGATCGTATGTTTGGGACACTGAGGGAAGAAAGTACCTGGATTTTAGTGCCGGTATTGCGGTTAATGCACTGGGACATTCTGACGAGGGGGTTACTAAGGTTAGTCCTTCGCACAAGTAATACGTTGGACGCGATTGGTCTATCTGGCCTATTTTCCATTTATCTATATTCACGTTCCTACTGCAATCCCACAGGTTCTTGCCCAACAATCCCAACAACTGCTACACACGAGTAACGTTTATCACAACGAATGGGCAGCCAAGCTTGCTGAATTATTAGTGACATTAACTCAAAAAGAAGGGGGATTGGGTTATCCTGCTGAGAAATCAACAACGGATGGGGCTACTCCCGGTGCAAAAGTGTTTTTCTCCAATTCCGGAACCGAAGCCAACGAGGGTGCACTGAAGATTGCAAGGAAAGTGGGTAAAGATCGGTGGGCAGCTAACGCTGCAGGACGTTCATGGGATTCAAAAGACTGTACTAAAACGCGTATCGCGTGTTTCGAGTCTTCATTCCATGGTAGAAGTATGGGTGCATTGAGTGTGACCAGCTCGGCCAAGTACCAACTCCCGTTCGCACCCCTGCTTCCTGGAATTGATGTTGGAAAGGTGAATGATTTCAATGGTTTATCGTCGCTTATTGGCGAGGACACCTGTGCTGTAATTGTCGAGCCAATACAAGGAGAAGGTGGTATCAACTCAGCACAAACGGAATGGCTAGCGGCGTTGAGGCAGCGCTGTGACCAGGTAGGCGCTGTATTGATCTTCGATGAAATACAGGTGTGTATGTCACAGTCTATCCGTCCACGTCCGATATTTCCACATGACTTTTACTCACTATCATGCGCAGTGCGGATTATATCGGACTGGGACTCTATGGGCTCACTCGCCGCTTCCTGTTGAATGCCATCCTGATATCGTGACCATGGCTAAGCCATTGGCAAATGGATATCCCATTGGTAGTGTTTTACTGCGAGACTCAGTTGCTTCTACTATGACTGCCGGTTAGTGTATAAGGTCTCCTACATACACCTGACCACATCTTTGATCCTCCCGAATAGGGACACATGGAACAACTTTCGGTGGATCACCAATTGCTTGTGCTGTGGGCTACCATGTCCTCTCTCGTCTGTCAGACCGTCCTTTTGTAGCTCAGATCGCCGAGACCAGCGCATACCTTTTCGGACGGCTGTCCCAACTACCGACCTGGTTCCCAGACATACTGCAGCCCACGATCCGAGGTAGGGGGTTAATTCTGGGATTGGCGTTCAAGGATGAGAAGGACCCGGGTCGCCTTGTGAGTTTGGCCCGGGAGCGAGGAGTGTTTGTGCTCACAGCGGGTAAAGATGCCGTTAGATTGGTGCCCAGTTTGAATGTGGGCAAAACAGAAGTGGATTTGGCAGTTGATGTGATTGAAAGCTGTCTTGGAGAAATGCAATGAGCCTGTTCAGGTTATTACCTGTTCCTCCATATCTCTTCCAGTACGAATAGAACGACGGGGTCGGAATTGACTGTCTTCTTACGAGTCAGCGGCGAACGCAGTAATCAATCATGCTTTTGCTATGTACACAGGTCCAGCCTGAGGCTCTTGAGTTTTGATCAGGTTCCAATGTTCGACATGATTTCCGCGATTCAATAGGTGCCTTCCAGAAGCACTTGCCATAAACTTCAATAAGTTTCCTATAAGAGGCTATCGGAGGCCGCCGGAACTCATTAACCGAGTAGTATGACATACACACGGCGTTTGATTGGCTGATACAATTGTCCAGTAGGTCACGATATAAATTCCCTCGACGACTGAAATTGACAACTCATATTTTTTCCTCTTGTCCTGGGTAAACTATATTTCTCACCGATGGACAAACTCTCTACGCTTTCGCGCTTCAAAGCATCGTGCCCATTCCTGGGCAGGACAAAGACCTCGACACTGCGCAACTTGTGTACTTCGACTTCGACTCGCTTCCCGTCGATCTCTCTGCTTACCGAGCGCGCTACGAACTGCCCGGTCATGGGTCCAGCGTTGAGTGTTCGTTCCAAGGAAATTGTGGCTGGCTATGCAAGCATGGCTGGTAACTCGGACATCGAACAGATTCACAAGGAGAAGGGAGTGAATATTCCTGTTGATGCTAGTGTCGAGATGTGTCCTCATGCGTCTGCTGCCCGGGCTGCAGCTCGTATGGCAGATGATCTGGCTCATGCTGCCAAAGGAAAGGAAATATCCAGCAAGGCTGCTGCTGCTGCTGGATGTCCTTTCCATAAGGCTGCTCTCGAACAGACTGTAAAGGCCACGGGGGTTGCCCCGCACCCGGTTCCCGTTTCTACCGCATCTACCTCGGTTAGTTCCTCTACTCGCACCGGTGCCTACGACTATGAGGCGTTCTACAACACTGAACTAGAGAAGAAACACAAGGATAAATCTTATCGGTACTTCAACAACATCAACCGTCTCGCGCACAAGTTCCCTGTTGCGCATACTGCCAAGGTCGAAGATGAAGTTCAAGTATGGTGCTCGAATGATTACCTTGGAATGGGTAACAATCCAGTTGTCCTGGAGACCATGCAGTAAGTTGTATAATTTGTCCCCCCTCGTTCTACCTAGCTCAATCACCTGTAGTCGGACTTTAGACAGGTACGGTCATGGTGCGGGAGGAACCCGTAACATCGCAGGTAACGGTGCCGTCCATCTTGGCCTCGAACGTGAATTGGCTACTCTCCACCGCAAAGACGCTGCTCTAATCTTTTCGTCCTGCTACGTCGCCAACGATGCTACTCTTTCTACTCTTGGAACCAAATTACCCGGATGTGTGATGTTCTCTGACAAGAGTAACCACGCATCCATGATTCAAGGGATGCGTCACTCTACAGCGCAACGGGTCATTTTCAAGCACAACGACCTGGAGGATTTGGAGAATAAGCTCAAGGAGTACCCTAAGGAGACTCCGAAGATCATTGCGTTCGAGAGTGTATATTCCATGTGCGGTAGTATCAGTCCCATCTCGGAAATATGTGATTTGGCAGAGAAATATGGCGCATTGACTTTCCTTGACGAGGTATGTTTTTCATTTTATCATTATTTTCAAATGAATTTTTCCCTAATACGATTCTTGCCCTAGGTGCATGCTGTCGGTTTATACGGACCCCGTGGCGCTGGTGTTGCGGAACACCTTGACTATGAAGCTCAACTGGCCCATGGCGAAAACCCTGACCCCATTCCTGGTTCAGTCATGGATCGTATCGATATTATCACTGGTCAGTACACGTCTCATAACTTCCATCTTCATGATGCCAACATCTTTTTGGATGTTCACAGGTACTCTCGGTAAGGCATACGGTGCTGTCGGCGGTTACATTGCTGGTTCAGACGATTTCATCGACATGATTCGGTCCTATGCTCCTGGTTTCATCTTCACAACGTCTTTGCCTCCTGCTACGGTTGCCGGTGCTCAAGCTAGTATCGCATATCAAAAAATCTACCTCGGTGATCGTCAGCTCAAACAGGTCAATGTTCGGGAAACCAAACGCCGATTCGCGGAGTTGGATATTCCTGTTGTGTGAGTAACCTTGATTGACGGATTTATGTAGCTGTGTTTTGATCTTACTCTATGCCCGCTCGCAAAATTTTTAGACCCGGTCCATCACACATTCTTCCCGTCCTCGTCGGCGACGCAGCTCTTGCCAAAGCCGCTTCTGACAAGCTCCTCTACGACCACTCGATCTACGTTCAAGCCATCAACTACCCCACCGTCGCTGTCGGCGAAGAACGTCTCCGAATAACCGTCACGCAACGCCACACCGTCGAACAAATAGACAAACTAGTCGCAGCTGTCGACCAGGTCTTTACGGATCTAAACATCAACAGGATCAAAGACTGGAAAGCTCTTGGTGGACGTGCGACTGTTGGTGTTCCAGGTGAAGATGATGTCGTAGAACCAATTTGGACCAAGGAGCAGCTTGGGGAAGAGACGGGGACGACACCGAAAACGTTGAGGGATGGAGAGAAGGATGTGGTTGACCCACAGGGGGTGTTTGTCGCAAGGAGTAGGTTTGATCATTTGTTAGGACCGATTTCTGGGCCGTTGCGGTCTGGGTATCAGGTTGTCGCGCCTGCCGTCACCACCAACACTACTACTACATCTTCTGCGGCTTCGGTCGTGCCCAAGACTATGAAGACGGGGACGAAATTGATGGACTTTGCTCCCAGGGCTAGGGATATCCCGGTCCCTCCGCCGTCCAAACTGAGTGCGGTTGCGTAAATAGGCTCCCTCAGTCTAATACCCCCTGTTCGTTGTTAACCTTTGTCTTGTTATATGTGCTCGTCGTCGCAGTAGTACACATAGTAGTCGGTTGTCGTACTTCACTCGTTTATTTCACTTGAGTTTGTGTGTGGAATTCATTGTCGGTCGTTGTTGCTGCTATATTTGTGTGTCGGAAGTAAAACTTTCTGTGTCATTCAGCTCTTACGTAACTGGTCTCCACGAGCATTAATGGGGTAGTGGTAACCTGGGTCGTTGCCATACCAGTTGGGCTGTGTTCTTCGACCCGCCGGGGGTTCGATTCCCCCTTAATGCAAAGGAATTCCTTTTAGGTTCATCTGAAGAGAGACAGAAAGACGAAGAAATTTTTTTGCTTTAAGTTTTGGTACATACAATGTATACACTGTCTGCATTTAAGTTGTTGCTACCACCAAACATGTACCCAAGTTTTTAGCTAAACTTCCCAGCAGTTGGAGAAAATCATTGTTCAAACGTTCATCCTACTATCAGTGTGCCTTACGTACAATACTCGAGGATTCTCCGCCTCCCCTCTAAACCCTCCACCTTTTTCTGCCCCCACCTCCACCACCCACACCCAGCCCAATCGTGCTCTCCCAATTAACGATATGCCCCAATAGCTCTGCATTCTGTTTCGCCGTCGCCACCACACCTCCACTACCACTACCACTCCCTCCAGTCCCATTCACACCATTCGCAGAAGAATCAATATCCATATCATCCTCCTCGCTATACTCTGTTGCTAAGAGGAGGTTCTTGAGCGACTCTTGAACGAGCGCGGCAGTGCGGAGCTTTTTTTCCATTTGGAGCTGGTTTTGGGATTTCGGGGTAGCGTTTGAATTTGAGGTGGATGAGGAGGAGTTTTGGGAGAGGGTACGACGGGGTGCGGCCTATAGCGATAGGTGGGCTGAGTAAATCATTAATCAAGACTCGTAACGCATAACCGACTCACTGGTGTCTGCAAATAGGTATGTTTGGGCGGCAAACCAGGTAAATTTCCCGGGAGATTACGCAATGTGGATGTTGGTATCGTGCGCAATTTCGTCGTGGTCGTTGCCGCTGGATTAGAAGCCTGGATTTGATTATGTGAGGTCAACGATGGAGGAGCGAGTGAAAGGTGGGTTGGATGTGCGGTTGGTGGGATGTGGTTTATTTGATGATTGGGGTAGTGGGATTTTTGTTGTTGGACCGGTGCAGTGGGTGTGGGGTCTGGGTCTTCTATGTCGATCTCGTCGTCGGAATGGAGTAATTCTGGAGTAGGTGAACGAGGAGGACGGGGGACGACGGTGAGGGATGGTGGGGGTTTTGCTTTTGCTTTTCCCTTTGTGTCCCTTCCTTTCATCTGTTTCCTCTTCCTCTTCCTAATCCATTTCGCCAATGTTTTCGGGCCGACATCATACGCCCAATCTTTCTCGAAATCTTCCGCCGCAAGAAGTAAATCAGTAGCGATTGGTCCTGATCTATTTGCGAGGTTAGAGTACGAGTGCGCGAGAGTGTATAAAGATTGAACGACTTGGGTGAGGAAAAAGGCTGAATCAGTCAAATAAAATAGATTATATATTGCACTTACATCCAACAACCTCTTGTTCAATGATATACAATGCTTCCGGCATCGCACCATCGAACCCAGCATTCCGCAATTCACCTGCAGCTAATCTTTGTATAGACTGACTTGCTTCTCGTGAAGTGACTGCAGGAGCGACAGGCGACGAAGGGCGGATTGTTCCTGTAGGTGATTTATGTGTTCCTACTCCCATTGCAGTTGTTACACCAGGAGTCGCATTAACCCCGGGAATTCCCAATCCATACGACGAAGCATTATAGGTCGTCGAAGGAAAAGAATAAGAACTACTAGCTGTATGATTATTAATATTATTATTTGTGAATGAGCCACCATGTTCGTACCAGAAGTGGGTGTCCCCGCACGCAAACTAGCGTATTGAGCAAGATACTGAGCAGCAGATGGCGAGGGTGTATAATGCGTCGATGACAACGTCGTAGATGCTAGAGCTGGAGTTGGCACTGGAACTGGAGCGACAGCTCCGGTGAGGCCTGGGGTAGCGGCTGTTGATGAAGCTGAAGGTGTCGTGTAGTGCGCTTGGGGATAATAATTCGGTATGGTCGGAATTGACATCGCTCGCAGGTTCACAGGGATAAAACGTGAGCACAGCGCATGAGCCGGTTAAGTGAAGAGTGGAAACCCGCGATGTCCCGCGGGTAACACTAAGCGAAAGACTCACGAGGATCCGAGGATACTAGGAATCAAGTATGATTGCGAGAGAGATACGATGGGTCAATATCTAGAGGAGAGTACTCTATGTGTGTAATGGAAGTAGGGAGGGAAATCGGAGAGGAGCATGTCCTGTTAAGGACAGTCTATATATAGTGTGATGGTCTAGTCACGAGTGTGACTGTATGCATGTATGTGTCAGTAAACGGTATGTTTACACCCCTACCCAACTAAAATCAAGTTTGGGAGTGCATCAGCAGAAGAGAAAAACCTTCTATGTAAAAAAAATAATCTAGAGAAACAGGAAAAGGCAAGGCATAAAAGAAAAGGAAAAAAAATGAAAACAACTAGGAAAATCAGTTAATTAAAGGACAAGGAGATAAATAGAAAGAAAGGCAAGTCGCAGAATAACAACCGTTACAATTCGACCGAATTCAATAGATCTGTAGGCCCATCACCTCCGTTTCGGACCCAATCCTCCAGGGCGCTACAATTGTGGAGGGAAGTATAGGATAGCCAACGATCTTCCGATGGACCTTGGTCCACCCAACGTACCAAAAATTGCCAACCACGACCACGCCGACGGGAATCCAGGATACGATCAATGAAAAATTCCTCATGTCCATCCACCATAGTTGGTTCCGGCATGTGCCGTTCACGTCCGGGGAACAAGGCGGCGTCGTTTGGTACAAAACGCTTCAATTGGTCAACATAGAAGGAAGGGAAAGCGCCGGGCTGATTAGGCATATCCAAAGTGTAATGGGAGGTTTCGGGGAAGGCTTTAATTACCTCGTACGGCCCGTCGAAACGAGCGAAAAACTTAGCCGCCCTCTTTTCACCAGATTTCTTAAACACCTCCCGACGATGATAAGTAGAAAGCATGACCCAATCCCCTTCCTCAAACAACTCGCATGGGCCCCGATTTTTATCCGACTGGAAAGCTTGGACCACTTTTGCCAAGGTCAGATTATCCCGAGCTTCCCGAACAGTCAGCGCAATGTTGTCTAGAAAAACCTTGGCATCATCATCATTTTGAGAAGGATCAAAACCCGACACGTCCACGTCCCCGACCAACGGAGGCAAAACACGCGGGGATCTCCCGTGGCGCAATTCAAACATGGAAAGACCAGTGGAGGCGTGAACCGTGTTCATAATATCGAAACGGATCTTTGGTAAGGCATTAACCCAACCCATTTGGTTACGTTCAACATAAAAGCGAATAGCCTGATTGATCGTCTTGTTCGAACGTTCGCTCGCACCATCAGTCTCGGGATGGAAGGAGGACGACATCTTAATTTTTACGCCAGTCAGTCCGTTCAGGGTTCTCCAAAAATCCGATACGAATAATTTATCCCGATCCGAAACCCACTCCAAGGGGAGGCCATTATCGCAGTACCAGTGATCAAAAACCAATTTAGCCAACGCGGGAGCAGAGATATCAATATTCGTAGGAATAATTTTTAAGTCGGAACCCAAACGATCTGTCATAGTAAGAATGCAGTCAAAACCCTGATCATTAGGGAGAGGCCCAATAAAATCCATGCCGACGCTATCACAACGGCCCTCAGGCACAGGCAGAGGGTGCAGAGGTCCTTTCACATTCTTGGCCGTACGTCCCTTGTTTCGCTGACAATCTTCGCACCCAGGGACGTAAAACTTGTACAAATCCCGTCGCATGTGTGGCCAGTAATAGGAATCCGCGAGCATGGCATATGTTTTATCAGCACCGAAATGACCGCAGGTGTCGTGTGCTAAATGGAAAAGGTCTTCACGCAAGGAAAGATAATTAGGGATGACCAGGCGACCGGACACAAACCATAAACCATGTTCGCGAGTAACATTCGGGACCAGTGAGCCACCCTCAACCAATTTCACAATGAAGGGGTCAGACACGTAACCGAGTTTAATTTGATTTAAGAATTCTTTATCCGCAGACAGGGAAAGGACAGAGGCACAAGTGAAGGGGTTGGCCTTCCAAGATTCAACGTTAGACGACCCGGGGAGCTGTTCCCTTATTTCAGAAGGTAAAGCCCAAGCTCGAATGCGGCTCAGCGCATCAGCCCCCAAGTTCTCATCACCGGGTATGTACGCAATTTCTAAGTCGAACTGACTGATTTCTTCTTGCCACCGCATTTGACGGCGACTCAGATCTTTCTGCTTCTCAAAATTCTCCAAGGTACGATGGTCCGTCAGAACGTGAACGCGCATACCCAAACAATCTGCACGCCATTTACGCAGTGCACGAATGATAGCCAAAAGTTCCTTCTCATGAACGGGGTAGTTCAATTCCGCCCCCGAGAATTGGGCTGAGTCGAAAGCTACGGGACGAGCACTATCCAAGGTAGGACCCCACATGAGGATAGCACCATGTCGCCAATCACTCGCATCGGTAACTAGAAATATTTTATTGGCACCTGGGTCGTCATGGTCAATGACCGTCAACACCTCACGGCTTACGACCAGTGCTTTAATGCATTCAAACGCGTGTTCATGTTCATGTGTCCATTCCGGAAAGGATTTATCACATTCTTTCTTTGTCAATGGTGTCAGGAAACGAGTGTGTTCCGCAAGATTTTCCAGATAGCCAGCAATGAACCTTATCATACCAAGGAAATGGCGTACTTCGGGAGCAGACGTTGGGCGCGGGTAGTGCAAAATAGCCTCACATTTCGAGGACTGAGCCTCAACACCACGACGAGAAATGTGGTGACCAAGGAAATCGAGTTGGAGTTGAAAAAACTGACACTTTTTTGGGTTACAGAATAGCTTGGCTTTTCGTAGTGCTTCCAGGATTAGTTCGACATGATGGGCATGTTCATCCTCATCCTTGGACCAAATAACGATATCGTCCAAGTATACATGACAAAATCGACCAATGTATTCACGGAGAGCTTGAGTCACCCAGCGCTGTTGAATTGCAGGTGCATTGCGTAGTCCCTGCGGCATTACTAACCATTCATATTGTCCTAAAGGCGTTTGAACAGAAACATAAGGAACAGAATCGGGAGCCATACGGCTTTGAAAAAAGGAATCCGTCATGTCCATCTTCCCCCAGATCTTTCCTTTTG